TTGAGAGCAAAGTCTTAGTTGTGTCTTAGTGGACTGGATAAAGTTTATATAAAGCACAAAAACTGAGGGGGAGGAAAAGGTTTTCTGTGCAGCTCTTCTTTGTTACCCAAAGTATATGATGTTATAAAACATCTGTGAGTGGGGCGCCTGGGTGGCTTAGTCGGTTAAGCGTCCGACTTTCGCTTGGGTCATGATCTCGCAGTTCGTGGGTTCGAGCCCCGCGTCGGGCTCTGTGCTGACTGCCAGCTCGGAGCCTGGAGCCTGTTTCAGAGTCTGTGTCTCCCTCTCTCTCTGACCCTCCCCTGCTCACGCTGTCTCTCTCTCTCTCCCCTAGAAATAAATAAAAATATTAAAAAAAAAAACAAAAAAAAAAACATCTGTGAGAAAAGTTGCTATCCCTTGCAAAAGATGGTGCCTAGTCCTGAGAATGTTGAGGTGCCGGCTGACCTTCATTTCACATTTCCGAGTGTGGATGTGTTTTATGCGGTGTGTGTGTGTGTGTGTGTGTGTGTGTGTGTGTGTGTGTGTGTAAGTGTTAGTAGGAGCAGGAAATCCTCACTTCTTCAGGGGAAGGTTTCTTGAAGAAAATGAGAAGTGACCATTTGTTAAAAGGGAAAGGAATCTGCAAGTTGGTGGGGGAAGGAGGTGACGGGCCTTATGCTGCAGGCGGGTGAGGAAATGAGAAATGAGAGGAGGAATTCCTTCAGGGGAGTGGTTGCCATTTCAAGATTCTCTCTTTGGAGAAGACCAAACTGCTAGTTAGGGTGCAGTGGCCCCGAGCAAAAGCCATTGGTGCAGCTCTGTACCCAAGGAAGGTGCTCTGTGCCTGAGGGTGGCAGCCACTGCTGAGGGAGGGGTTTCTACCCCCAAAACCTGTGTCGTTGTGTGATTTATCTTGGTCTAAGACTGCTCTGAAAAAGAATCTCTAAGGCCTTCAGAAGGTAGAATAAAGGGGGGTGGGGGCGCCTGGGTGGCTCAGTCGGTTAAGCTTCCAACTTCAGCTCAGGTCATGATATCGCGGTTTGTGGATTCGGGCCCCATGTTGGGCTGTGTGCTGACAGCTCAGAGCCTGGAGCCTGCTTCAGATTCTGTGTCTCCCTCTCTCTCTCCCCTTCCTCTGCTCATGCTGTCTCTCTCTGCCTTAAAAATAAATATACATTTTAAAAAAGTTTTAAAAGAAGGTAGAAAAATGGTAGTCCTGGATCTTAGAAATCAAAACTGAAAATGAAAAAGAAAACTGATGTCTGATAAAAAAAAAAAAAAAAAAGGAAGAATCAGGGTTGTGGGGAGAAACACCCTCTCAATATCCCAGCTGCCTGGATTTGGGGCTCCAGCGACCCCCCCTTTACCCCCCTCCTTCCCCCTCATCCTGCCCCGGCCGCCTGTGCACCTTCTCCTGGAGACTGCTGGGTCTTGTGTGAAAGAGGTCTCCACTCGGGCTTCCCTTCAGCTTAGCAAAGCATGGGCCTGCCTTGAAGACCCCATCCCGCCATCTTCTTGAAGGAGGCTCCCTCAGAGCTCCTTGCCAGCCAGAGCCTCCTCCCTCTTGGGCCTGTGACCACAACACGGTGTGGGGAGGGCGCCTCCTGGCTTCCACCAGGTCCAGACCTATAGCTAGTTCTTCCTCTGGCTGTGCAGGGAGCTCCTGAGGTCAGGCAGGGGTGTGCTTGGCACTCGGCTACGGTGGGGGGGGGGGGGTCACTGACCTGTGCTCGCCTGAGGCCTCGAGAGGCATCCCGCACCCCCACACACCATCCTTCAACAGGATTTTAAATTGCAGACTTCTCCTGCTGTTGAAAGGACTGGGCAGGCCTCTTCTCTCATGCCCTCCCCCCAGCTCCCTCCCCCGAGGACAATGTGGGGAGCTGGGGGCGGTGTCAGAGGATAATAAGGTCGGCGGCAAAGCAGGAAGGCAAGATGTGACTTCTCAGTGGTGTCTGCACCCGGCAGCGCCTCGTGGCCACTGCCCCTGGTGCAGACCCCTTCATTAGGATGAGCTGTGCGGAGGGGGAGACAGACGGGGTTTTTTCACCCAAGTCACCTACTGCCAGTTGTGCCTCCAGACTCGCATTTAAGCCATTATAATAACAGGATCGAGCTTACCTGCACTCTCCAAATTACCCTTATTCCAGTGGCCTCACACAAAGATGGAAATAGACACCGCATTGTGCTTCTGTTTAGCTCTCCCTAATAATAGCTAATGTGCAGGTTATAATGCACACTGCAAATATAAAATGTTATGTCAATGCTAAGTTGTAATAATAATAATCCTGCAAAAATGTAGCAGAAGGAGTGTCTGTGAGCAATTTGAGGAAGATTGCTGCTTCCGTGGTGATACAGGTGTGACTGAAAAACAGATCGATCGCAGGCTGTCTGGCAGGAGGCTGGCCGTGCGGTGGGTGGGTGTCCACGACGCCATGGAGCTCTCGTCTGGACACTGGGGGGACCGACATAACAGCAGCCCGAGGACCCCGGCCTTCCTTCCCCAGGTCAGCTGAGGGCGGGCCTGGGCCTTGTCTGGGCCTTCCACGGCCCGTTCAGAAGACATCTTGGGGACAGGACTCTGTGGGAAGAGAGGTTCTCCATCACCTTTACTAGAACCAAAGGCGCACAGCACAGTAACAACACAGGTGAGGTCAGGTGGTTGGGGGAGGCATCCAACTTTGGTCCTTCAGGAACCCCAAGATCAGCATGAGTGTTTGGACACGCCTCTCTTTATATATATACTATTTTTGTGTTTATTTATTTTTGAGAGAGAGAGCACAAGCAAGGGAGGGGCGGAGAGAGAGAAGACACAGAATCTGAAGCAGGCTCCAGGCTCTGAGCTGTCAGCACAGAGCCCGACAGAGGGCTCAAACCTACGAACCATGAGATCATGACCTGAGCTGAAGTTGGACGCTTAACCGACTAAGCCACCCAGGCGTCCCTGGACATAACTCTCTTATTAACTGAATGAGGCCCAGGAGTTCAGCAATCAGTGTGGCCATTTCAGAGGAGGGAGACACAGGACAGAAGGAGGATCCCTGAGTGGTTTGAGTCAGGCCTCAAGACTGCCCAAAGGGGGCCGCATGGGTCCTTCCATAAGGATCATTCCCACGATGCTCCTGCACAAGATACTTGTGTGTCTATTTTAAAATAGGACCTCAGCTTAACCTCAGTCGGTTAAGTGTCCGACTTCCACTCAGGTCATGATCTCAAGGTTCGTGGGTTCGAGGCCCCCCTCGGGCTCTATGCTGACAGCTAGCTCAGAGCCTGGAACCTGATTCACATTCTGTGTCTCCCTCTCGGTCTGTCCCTCCCCTGCTCATGCTGTCTCTCTCTCTCTCAGAAATAAATAACTTTAAAAAAATTAAAAATAAAATTTCCCTCTCTCTCTGACCCTCCCCTGCTCACACTGTCTCTCTCTCAGAAATAAATAATTTAAAAAATTTAAAAATACAATTAAAATAAAATAGGGCCTCAGGCAGAACACGCCCCAAACAGCGCCACAAGTGGAAGGCTTTTTCTGTTTTAGTGACAATGTGGTGTCCCTGGCTCCTTCTGCCTCCAGCTGCAGCACATACCCGCGCCCAGGCTACCCCCATGGCATCGTGTCGAGGACTAGAGGTGAACTGAGCATAAAGCCTGTGCCCCCGACCCCAGCGTCTCTGGAACTCAGTCCCATCCCCTGTCAAATGGAAACAGTTTTCACATTCACTGTATCATGTGTTTCGAAGCTGCGAGGCGATGGTGCAGGTCATACCCTTGGCACGTTGCTGGCACCGCAGAATCGTGAGCTGTTACCACCTCTGCTGCCACTGCTGCTCTGTGCTGGGGGACAATGGGGAAAGGAAAACTCTCGCCCTCACTCCAAAAGCAGGTGCTCAGGGCTTTGGGATGGGGCCGGGGCAGGACTGCCCTCAAAGGTGCCGGGCATGGAGCTTCCTCCGGAAGCATTTGTCCAGACAAGCCGACCGTAGCCCCAGTTCAGGAACCAGGAGGCAGAGCGAGGGGTGGGCTGAAGCGTGCTCACGGCCCCACAGCGTCAGCTCCACCCGAGAACGGGGACGAGGCTGAGGCCGTTACTGGGGGAAGTACTGGCTTACACCAGCTATTTTATAAACAAGGCCCACATTTCCAGGGGCTTACCAGCAACAAAAAGTTTATTCCTTTCTTAAACTTTTTTGTATTTTTTGTTTGTTTGTTTGTCTTGGGAGAGGGAGAGAGGGAGAAAGAGCATGCACACAAGTGGAAGAGAAGCAGGGAAAGAGAGACATAGAGTACCAAGCAGGCTCTATACCATCAGCACAGAGCCCGACGCGGTGCTCGAACTGACAAACTGAAATCATGACCTGAGCTGAGATCAAGAATGGGACGCTTAGCCGACTGACCACCCAGGCACCCCAAAAAGTTTATTCTTGAGCACAGAAGAGCCCCTAAGCAGATACTGTAGGTCTCTGGGCACCTTTCCTGCATATGGTAAGTCAGAGACCCAGGCCTATTTCAGCAGCAGGAAGAGACATTATTAGAAGGCATACCTCGCTCCCTCATGCCCCACTGGTGAAAACTAGCCTCTGGGGCAGTCACCTCTCAGGAACGACGCTGCACTAAGCAAAAAAGAAAAAAACAGCATGAGTTTGGGTACACAGCATGCTGCCTCTACCAGAGAGAGCAACCCCCATCCACCACCCTCAGCCACGCAGCCCTGCAAGAAGATTTGGCTTCCCAGGAGGCAGATATATGGAGCCTGGTGAGAAGTTAAGTCACCAGCCCACAGGGCCTAGAAGGCAACTGATCTCGTGGGGATGTCTTCTAGGCCTTTGACCCTCCACACCATCCTGTGTTCTGACCCTATCAGCAAAACCGCCCATCTGGGCAGCAGCCGATGAATCCTTGAGAGAGGCTCCTTGTGTGGGAGAAAGAAACACGTCATTCGGCAGCACCCTCCTGCATCCCAGGTCTGCATCTGGCAGAGTGAAGGGAGAATGGTAAACACAGAGTTCCCCAAAGACGCAAAGATGAACAGTTCTTGAGAAATCCGGATATTGTTAGAAATAATATGTTAAAAGTGTTTTTATTATTTGGTTACATCTTGCCTGAGCATGAAAAAAGATATTAACATACTGTCAGCTTACTGGGACATAACCCAAAATAACTTACATTCTTCATATAGGGCTAATTATTTTTCTGAGGCTGGCTCAGGCTGGTAAGAGAGAGATTTCAAGGCTTTCCCCAGATTATTTACTTAAGGAAGCTAAGCATGCCACTATCTGTTCCCATGGAAACACAGTAAGTAATACAGGAGACAGGAAGAGGTCACTTTGACCATAATTAATATAAGGAATAATGGTTTATGTGGAATCTCGTAAAGGGTAAAGCAAGCTGCCGTAATCCCTTTAAACCTCTTCAGCAGTGCAATTTAATCTTTGGATCAATTTTCCTGCACTAACGTCACTTTGGTAATTTTAGTGGTCTAGTGCTAATTTTTGAAATGTAATTTAATCTTGGTTGGCAGTTTTTCTTAGGTTGCTATTTCATTTTTGGTCCAACCAGAAAATCCCAATAATGGAATTTTTCTAGGGTCTGAGCAATTGCACTGTCCTTCCCCTTTGTATGCCACATTTTAATAATCTGGCCAGTTGGTGAGTGAATTACTGATAATCCAGAGGCACCGCTAGATTCAGGAGTACCTTAAGAATCACCAAAGGAAGATTTCATTGTATTCAAAAGAGTAGTTTACATTTGATGGCTCATTGTGTTCTTTTTGTGTTATTCTTGAAAATGGGTCATTCATGTGTGGTGGCTCTTAGCTAAATATTCCACTTATCAGAACACAGGACACTCCTCAGGGAGTCTTACAAAAAGACACACACTGTAGTTTATTTTTAATCCTTACACTTATTTGAATAGTGAATTTGTTACACAGTCTCTCAAGGCTAAATTTTATCATGGAAGTTTGATTACACATTTTCCAAAACTGTTTCATTTAATACAGTGTCCTAGAAAGAATGAAAGAGTAAAAACAAAGGGAGAGAAACTAAGGAATGGAACTTTTTCAAATTTCTAAATTTGTAATATCCTGAAAAAAATGATATGAAGTTAGGAATTAACAGGACTTTGTTTCTTTTCGAGCTCAAGAAACATAATGTAGCTTCTTCCCAGAAGCCTCATCTGAGGGGTGCATGTAGGGCTGCACATGACACATTATTATGTTTACAAACAGGTGGCCTGAAGTTAAGTGGAGTCAATATACAATTTCTCACCCTGTAGAAATAACCACTTTGCTGCCACATGAGTAACCCACTTTTTTTTTTTTTTTGCAAATATCAAGCTTGAAATCATTTAATCAGGAATGTAAATTAGTTATATGCCTCAGTTATAAAAACGTTGATGGGATTGGCTATGGTATTGATTTGAGGTGGAGGGAGTAGAGTTACAGCTGCCTTTTTTTTTTTTTTTTTTCGTATAATGATATCACTTTCCTATTCCAGAAATGCAAACAGCATTGTCTCTTCCTTGGCAGGAATAGTGGCCACTCGGCTCAGCCAAGAATAACTGTCAGTACTGCCATTCCACAGGCGTCTAAGAGAGACCATGAAATAATGGATGGTGCACTTTCCTATATGTATTTATGTTCAGATAATTTATTTAAATAATGTTGCTGGCACATGCTTTATAGCTGCTTGCATTTTGCTACACAGATTTCAGCGTATCTTGCAGACTATGCAATTCATTTGGAAAATGTAATTTCCATCCCTGCATACTAATCGATTTCTTCACAAACACCTGCTATCAGTTATGATAATAAAAATGCCACTCTAAATTGAAAAAGGGCCAAATAGAGCTTCCTAAGGAAATGACTTAAGTGTCTTTGAATGCTACTAAATGTAGTAATGTGCTTATGTAGTGCCAACATTTTTTTCATCATTTGCATTTTCCGTAATTTTGCCCTATTACAGCATCCCTCTCAAATGATGCCTCATAACCATTTCCTTGTGGGTTGGTAAACTGAGTTGTCAGGAGTTGGTGTCACGGGGTGTGGACAAGATCTGGAGTTGGGCAGTGTGATGTCAGAAAGCACTAGCTCATGCTCCTGGCTATTCCCTGGGTCGTTTCTGATTTTATGAGTAAGTACCCGAAAACTGTAAAATTGGCTGCTCCTTGGTCTTGCACACACATAGACACCAAATAAAATTCCCTTCATTCATTCTCTGCAGCCTCTAGTTCATTCCATGCACCATTGCCAGACTAATCTTACTAAATCACTGATTCCATCATGTCCTTCTGCTGTCCCGGCACCTGGAGTAGATCTCCATCAGCTGCCCCACTGAATCTCACTCTCTAGCCTGACTTGAGAGCCTCCAGCCCCTCTCATCACCTCACACGGCTCGCCTTTCTCTCACTGCCTCCAGACTGACACTTGCCTTTCTGGTCAAGCTTCCCTCCTTCCTGTCCCAGATGGTCTCCGTTAAATTCTCCTCTCTGGGTGTTTGCTTATGCTCTTGCTCTGTCCAGACTCAGACATCCTACCCCAGTTCTTGGGGCCTTCAAGGCCCTCTTTTATCATTCTGGTCCGCATCTTCC